ACTCAAGCAGCAGAACCGACAAAAACCAGCTGGGGAAATAGGTAACCTAACACCTACAGATCAAAGCCAAAATCAGACCATTCAAAACCACATAAGTGACATTCATATGAAATAAGTTGCTTCATTACAATGATGCGTTCAGCTTAGTAGGGTTTCTCTCCAATTACATTTCCAGGTGGATTATATAAACATATTGTTAAACTAGCACGTTCTTTACTACATGCAGCCTGAGCACACCCCAGTTCCTCTGATTTCTTCCACACCACCTGCGTGTAAACGCCGCACTGGTGGTCCGGCGAACAAGAATTGTCTGCATAAGTATAGAACTTCTTCTCTGCTACCCAGGTCTCCACCGCAGCCCGCGGCGTCACGGCCAAACCACCGGCCCACAACTGGTTTCCGCCGTACATGCTGTTGGTCAAGTTTGCAAAAGTGCAGTTTTGTCTGTCCCTTTGGTACCTGACCTGGAGGCTGGCGGTTTTGGCTAGCTGCTGGCTCCACTTGAGAGGAGCAACACCCACTTCCGCCCTTGCTTGGTTGTGTGCATCGAGGTACTCTTGGGCGGCTGCCGGTGGCGCTGCTGCTGGAGGGGTGGTGTGTGTCGGTGGTGATGGTGGTTGTACAACTTGTGCTGAACAGTAACATGAGGTTAAAGCAATTAATATCAAGAGGAGTTTGGCCATCATTTTTCAACTGTAGTATTTTGGAGGGTTTATTTGGAGGTTGATATATGAGAGATGCAACTTTATATATAAATGGGACACTATAAACATGCAAAATTTCAAGTTGACTATCAAAGTTTTAATTGTTCCAAGTCAATCAATAAAATTCAATTTTGTACCAAATTAGTCATTCTATCAACAATCTCGATAGTGCATTCAACGCGTTCTCTTACTAATGACATTTTAGTTCAATGCCAACTAGGGAGATGTTGACTGTAATCGCACCTAGGATCATTGAGCTGCAAAAACGAGTTAAAAGAGAATATCTTCAAGTGGGACGAAAGGACCCACCTTTTGTCCACAAGTTTATACGTCATTGTCGATAGAGGTGTGTGATGATCTTGTTGGCGGAGTCTAATTCAAGCCGATGATTCATTGAGATAATGAATAATTTCAAAATTCTTTATTCTACGTGTTCATTTTCAACCATACATTCACACAATAAAATATTTTGTTCGTAAATTCAAAAATTTCCTTATTTTTAAATAAGAAATTCTTCAAAATTTCACCATTCAAAACATTATTTTGAATAAATAATGACCAAGAAAACAGGGGCTTAAAGTCAAAACAAAACAAATTATAAAAGCCTAAAAATTTCCTTCCCAGTAAAAAAATATTGAAGAGAGTTTTTAACAGGAGTCGAGCACGTGACTATGCTGACTTTTTCGGGAAAACAAGAAATATTGTCCGATATGTTAAATGAGCCCATGTGACGTGCTTTTATGATGGCGCACGTGAAACTGACTCTCTCCTACGCCAATTTACTGTTGAAGACGTAAGAACATTTCTAAGAAACTTTTTATTTTTAATGAATATATTCTATAATTTAGAGAGTATCTATAAATTTAGAGAGTTAAAATTTTGAAGTACTTCAACAATCTCTTTATATTTAACACTTAATTTTACTACTTCAAAAAAATATTTATTATTTTTCTTTATCTTTTGTTTTAACTAGCTTTTTTTTTAAATTATTTTATTATTTTCCTACATTGAAAATTGAAACACATTAGCATTTAATTATAGAGAGTGAGTTTGGCTCTCCAAATTTGAAAAGTCAAACCAACTCTCTAAATTAAAATGTTAATTTAAAGAGTCTCTTGGAGTATGATTTTAAATGTTGGCTCTTTAAAATAGAGAGCATTTCATGTTTAAAGAATCTCTTGTAAATGCTCTAAATTGTCGATATGGAAAAGTTACCATGTTTAATTGTGAATATGAAAAGAAAATAAATTCAAGATAATTTAATTGTCTAGAAGTTATTTGTATAAAAATTAGGAATAATTGCAGCAAAAGCTCCAAACCTTTGAAACACTAATATACTTTCTCCAAACCTTTAATTTGTTGTAGCAGGCAACCCAAACATTTTCAAACGTTGTAGGTGAGGCCATTTTGGATAGTTTCCGTCAAAGACGCCGTCAGTTGACCCAAAAAATTAAAGTTTGACCATTTTTTACCAATTAAATTAGGGTAAAATAATAACTTTATAATATGACCATATAAAATATAATTCAAAAAATTAAGAAGGAAAAGGAAAATATTGTTTATCTACTCCCAAAACCCCCCCACACACCATAACCAAAACCCCAGAAAAAACAGTTGTAACATGTCGACCGCACCACCCATCGGCCACCACTGAAATTCAAACTCCAAAAAACCCATAAACAGAAAAGCCCACAAATAATTATTAAAACAACCCAGACACGACAAAAAAAAAAAAAAAAAAGGTTTCTTCCCATGGTTCATTTTTGCCAATAATTCAAGAACATCACCACGAACAAACATATCCAGCGACGAAAAAGTTGCAAGTTGCAAGAGAAGGAAAATATATGCAAATCCATTGATTTTTTTTTCCAAAAACTAAGTTCAAATTGAGATGCATCTTCTGCAATGAACCCATCATGTGGATCATGCATTTTTGGAGCTAAGGGAATAAATGCACTTTTAAACAATTGTTCTTCCTTGGAAGAACTCTCTATCAGGTGCTTGAGGGGAATCAAAGATAGTTTTGTTATCGAGCCAATTGGCTTGGGAATCGATTTTTCGCTTCAATCGATCGTACTCGAGGAGCATCATAATGGGTAGTGTTTTGGCCCATTGATTATTGGATCCAAGATTTTGAAAACTTTGAAGATACTTGGGTGTTTTGGGGATGAGGAAATTACACCCATACTCGGAATTAGATTTCCAATTTCAAAAATCCAATCACAAGTTTAATATTTCAAAAATCAGGTTTTAATTTATAATTTAAAAATATTTTTTAATTTTTATTTTTATATCTATATACAATAAAATCATTTAAATCCAGCCAAACCCTAAAATCATTTGAACCATTCTTCCTCTCCACTCTCGCCTCCAGTCTCTCAACGCTGCCATCGCCTTCGCCGCCGCCGCCGCAGCCCTGGCAGCCACCGCGTCTTCCCATCTATCTCGTCTTCTCTCTCTCACCAGCCCCGACAGCCGCCGCTTATCCCCCTAATCTCCACTCTCATCTCTTCTGTACGAGGATCGTGGGTGACATCGTCGGTGACGATCGCCAGAAAATCGTGTAAGTCCAGATCTCTGCACTTTCTTTCTGTTTTCTTGCTCCGTCGGTGACGCCTTTGTTTTCCGTTTCACTTTATTCTCTTCGCCTTTGTAGTACCCATCGCCCTAACCCAGTAGCGACGGCTCCTCACAGTCAGCAACCGACGAAATGACACTGTGCGACCCAGATCTATAGCATTTTCAGCAGCGGGGCACGACCCCAGACCCTTTCTCTCTCGCCACCTTCGACCCGCGGCAATTTGAGGTATTCATCCAATG